GTGCCCCAGGATCTTGCTTCTCTCTCCATCTTTGTCCCCCCCGTCAGCTTGCACAGGCCCCCCACCTTGGAAAGCAGTCATCGGACCCTGGTCCTTCTCCACCTTCCTTCTGGTCTTCTGGCATTCTTCCACCCTGAGGCTCTGTCTTTTCCGTGTCTTCCTGACACTGCTTCCTCAGCTGGCCCCATGGTTCACGTGATGCTGAGGACTCCCCTCCATCCCGCCAGCCCTAGCTTGCTCCCGGCTCCTGTGCCAACTTCCAAGGCTGTCTGACCCTCTGCCAGGGAGTGCTGGACACCAGCAGATGCGTTTCATCTCCTACCCGGTCCTTGCCTTCCACAGCCTGCCACAGCCTGTCCCCTCTCCTCCACCTGTTAAACCATCCCTCCTCCTCCTCCTCCTCCTCCTTTTCCTGTGGCTGCTGCTTTAGCCTAAAATCACCACGCATCTCAATTCTGCAAACGTGAGCCATGGGAGGAAAATGACCTCTTCATCTACCCCTGGGCTGTGCTTTGTTCTGTCCTCCCTCAGGTGGTAGCTTATTAGTCATCCTAACAACCCTGCTCCTGGTCACGGATGTCCTTATTTTATGATGCAGAAGCGGTTCTGACCTGACACCTGCCAGTGGGTTCCTGGGGACTGAAGCACATCTCCCCACTCCTGAACTCCGCTCTCGCCCTGCCTCCACCTGCCCTCAGCACTCAGCAGCAGCCGTCGGCCAACACAGGTGTGGGTGCAATGACGCTGGCTTCAAGGCTTTTATCGGCCAACAGGAGAGGCTCACCTATGACCAGCCACCACGCTGCATTTCCTCCACTCACTCATCCAATCGTGACAAATGCCCGTCTTTGCACCCCTTTGGTCCAGCTGATGCTGCCCGTAGGTGCCTGAGGCCCGGGATGCGCTAACAGCTTCTCTGCTCTGGAATCTTGAGTGTTACAACTGGGGTGATGGGAGACACGGGGACTGACCTGCACTGTGGTGCTGCCCCCAGAGTTGGGCAGCCTGGGGGTGCAGATTGGTGTGATGTTTCACAGGTGTATTGTGTGGGATATTTAGCACCCAGGACATGGAGTAGCCCTGTCCTTGTCTACACCACTGACATCAGGATAACCGTCCACACAGATACGTGCTGACACCTGGGAAAGTCTCGAAACCCAGAGGCCCCACGCATCAGGGGCTCATGCGTCAGCAGTGCCATGGACAGAGGCGTGGGGCAGCGGGCCCTCCAGGCACCGCCTAGACCCTCTACTTTCCACGTCTGCGGCTCCTGCTCCTGCAGAGTCATCACTTTCTTAAGTGGGGAGGCCGAGCAAAGAGATGCTGTAGGGAATCTATAGGGGGTTCTCGCTGAGTCAGCGCCAGCACCATCTCCACGGTGATGAATGTCACGCAGGCCCTAATATACTCTGAATTCCAGGCAGGGAGACGTGTCATTATTCCACCCTCATGGGGGGGGGGGTGGAGAGGGGACGGCGCTAGTATCTTATTTTCTTTAGGCATCAGACTCATGCTTGAGGGAAAGCTGCCCTCCCCACCCTCCATTCTCACCTCTTTTCTTCTGTCTCATCAACCCTCTTACCAGGTCCCCATGGCACCCCTGCCCTCCCCCAGACCCACCTCTGCCTGACAAGCCCATGACTGGCTGGATGAGAAAGGGGACGCTTTCTCCCCAGACAACAAACCACAGCCATCCGAACACCACTGCTCACCCAGACCCATCAAGGCTCCAATTTCATTTCATAGTCGGGTTTCTAAACACAGGTGGAGGGCGCTTTAGACACGGGCTCCGCCGACTTCAATGATCCTGTTTTACGTGGAGCTGCACGTATCGTATACAGACACGCATTGTACACACGGCAGGAGGACCCGTTCTGCCTTTGGCCAAGGGGAACCTACTCAGGACAAGGGGAGTGGAGTGAGCTGTGGTGGGCTACTGTTCTCCACAATCCACGCATACAAATGTGGCCATAGAGACCCAGCTCCTTTTAATGATCTTTAAGTTCTCAGGACCTTCTGGGCCTGGAAACTCTGTTATTAGTTTTTAATGAATGCATGGACTTGAGTAGAGATCATTTTCTGGTCTACAAAACCACACCTCATACCATCTGGGGCCATCTCGCTGTATCCAGGCCCCTAACTTCTGAACAGGCACTAGCCACAGGCCCACCATGGTCACCCAGAGCCATAAGCCTGCAAATGCCAAGGTGGCACACTTATCTTTCCATAATCCCTATGAAAACAAGCCATGTGTGTCGTCTCTGCTGGGCCCAGGGTAGACGTGGGGAAGTCCAGGGGCAGTGGGAAAGGATGGTCCTGGGGGACTTCATCGGGGCATGGAGCTTCGGCCCAACGGCCCAGAGAAGGAACCGAGCTGTGGCCTGCTTTAGTTTAGTTCCCTGTCTGTGGGGAGAGGACTTTTCATCAGACGTGGATGCTCTTCTCAGATGAGGCCATCTCCGTCACCTTGAGCCATCCAGCATGAAGAGGGAGAGGCAGAAAGAGAAGGTTCCAGGGAGAAACTAGTCCAGCAGGTCAGATACATGCTCCTTTAGCAGGTGCTGTCCACCCCCCACCCCTGAGTCTGAAGGGGTAGCAGGGGCATTAGCTTTATCTACTTACAGCCAGCTGCCCTGGGGCAGGGGAGGGTAATCGTCACCTTTGCTGCCATAACAAAGGCCACACAAACCTGGTGTGTGGGTTTGGCTGGGCCCCCTGCTGAGGGCCTCCCAAGGCCCAAATCCAGGTGTGCAAACCACGTTCCATGCTGGGGGCTCTGGAAAAGAATCAACTCACCAGCTCCCAGTCTCTTGGTTTGGAACACGGGTAGCCAGCACTTTCCAGTGTTCTAGGCCTCTAGGACTAGAGGTTGGAGGCATATTCTCGCCTCGTCCTGGGTTTAGCGGCAGGCAGGTGGCAGGCACAGGTGAATGAACGCAAATACAGAGAGGGCCCAGGCCTTGTAGAGAGGAGAACTGGGTGCGGAGGGGCCCAGAGTGAGTGGGGTGGGCGGGAGAGCGGGCGGGGAAGGTGTGCTAGTCCTGGGGGAGGCCGCCCCGGAGCTGTGTTTTGCAGTGGAGTCCACACTAGGTGGAGGAGGGAGGCCAGGTGGTTGCAGAGGGCCGGGCATGTTGGGGCTGTGCCTCCGGACTGATGGCTGGAGAGGTGGGCACACACCAGGAGGGACTCAGCTGAGGGGTGTGGGCCTCGTCCTTAGGACAAGAAGCACCCATGGTGGCCACCACGCCTGGGAAGTGGGAGAGACCTGCATTTCAGTGCTCTCTGGCCCAGTGGGAGGCTGGCTTTGAGGGGAACAGAATAGTCCTGGGGCTGGAGAGAAGGGTGGATGTGAACAATGATGCTTCGGGTGCGGATCCCGGCACTTGGTGAGCTGGGCTGCGGGGAGGCCCCCCTGCCACACCCTGGAGCCAGAATTCCTTCCCTCAGCACCATCCCTGAAGCTTAGAGAGCTCCCCGACCCCACTAAACCCCCGATCATCATCCCCATCCTGATGGGCTCTTCCAAATGCCCACTCGGGTGCCTACCTATGTTTGCATGCAGAGTTGGGGTGCTCCATGTGACATACGCACCGTTGGAGAAGCCCTGCATCTTCTGGCATATAAAATGCTTAAAAAAAAATTTTAAAAAAATCCAGAAATGGCTTTCAAAGTGCTGAGAGCCGGCTATAACATAACGGGATGCTGGGATGGGAGAAAGTGGTGTCTCCTGGGATAGCTGTCTGTAGAGCTTTTTTGTGTTGGATTGTAAAATTAAAAAAAAAAAATTTGTGTTGGATCGGAAAATGCCTCTCCCACACCTCCGCAGAAGCCCCTCCCTACTTCCCCAGTGGAATCAGCACTTGTTAATGTCCCACGACCGGAAGCAACTAGCTGAGATTGCCACTTAATGTGGGCAGATGTGTGTCAACATTGCTATAAACAGAAGGTACTGGAAGGTTGGACCGGAATGTGCCATCATTAAAAATAACGTGCTGCCTGAATCCCAAAGCGACTGCCACGTGAAGGAAGGCTCACACTCACTTTGTAGGGTTCAAGGGGGCAGAACAAGTCCCAACAGACAGAGGCTAGAGGGAGATGGGTTACCACCAAGGAGAATTTTCTAACAGTTTAACACAAAAATTCACAAGAGCATGTGCCGAACTGTGAAGCAGTGAACGTGTTGTCATAAACAGCACCTGAGCAGAGACAGGATGTCTGTCAAAAGTGCTATAGAAAGGATTCGTTTGATTGTAGCAGGAAAGGCCGGAGCACATGAGAGGATCATGAGAGACACCTTGAGCGGCACGATGCCTGGGCTCTGGGCTGCCCAGAAAGACAGAAATCTCGTCCCCATTGGGATCGACAAGAGTCTACCCGGTTCTGAGCTCTTCTGGGCCCGTGCAGGCACAGCTGATCTCAAACCCATATCCGATTTATTTCCCCAGGCTGTTCCAGGGGACGGGTGCCAGGAAGGGGAGGCAGTTTGGTTCGTGGGATTGGGGTTTTCTGCTCGTTTGTTGAGCTTCCAATCTGGCCCCTGATGGCAAGAGCTGTATACTTTTGATGGGTTTCTCTACACTGCCCAGTTTGGGAGAACAGATGCTATGGGTCAGGCCAGCAGCCATAAATTCCTGGAAAATAACTCTTAGTGACTGAGGAAGAAAGCCATAAAACACTCTGGAGGCAGGGACAGGAAAAAACACTGGCAGAGGACAATGCATGAGATTACTGCTAAATGCCCAGCCAAGCCCCACGGGTCATTCTCAGGCCACGTCACTGCTCCGTGAGCCTGTGCCCAACGCTCCCCGGTGACACTGTGGCCTCTTCCTCTCTTCCTCCAGTGTCTTCCTCAACAAGTAGTTACCAAAGCCACCTTCAAGGTGGCCACTACCATAAGCACTAGAGACAGCTGGGAACAAAACAAAATCGAATCCCAGCCCATATTCTGGTCACTTCCTGGATCTTGCCGGCTGGGAGCAGGGAAAGGAAACCAACACAACACCTGCTGGCATTGTGTGCAGATGGCTCTGGGAGTTTTACAGACCCGACTCTGTGGAGTTTCACAATAACCGCAAGGAGCACCCTTTTGTCGCACTTCTACTACATGAGGCAGCTCTGGGCTCACTCAGTGCTACGAGCTACACGAGCGGGTCCCGGGTTGCTCTTTCTCCCGTAGCTGCAGAATGCAGGCCCACACCACTGCAGCCAGACACGCTTGCACAGTTTTGCACCCCTTCCACCCACACCCCTTTCTCTCTCACTAAAAGACAAGGGCCAGATGCTCCTGGGCTTCTGTGGCGATGACCCCAGAC